GGTTAAAAACAGTACCATAAGGCGAAAGTAGTGTCGCTAAGGGGAAACTAAAGCGACGTTAAGGGGAAATCATAGACAAAAGAGTTTCCCCTTAAGAGCCGAATAAAGGTAGTATATATATATATATGTCATACAGATAAAGACGGACAACAAGGTACTCATACCGGCAGATAAAACAACTAACTTCTACCGTATGGACGCGAATTCCTATAACAACATACTAACCAAAAATATAACCAAGGCGTACAAGAAAGCAGAAGCTAATGCTGCAAGTACCATCACAACCGAAGAAACTAAAATAGCAAGGAACCTAGACTTAGACGACAGGATTGAAGTAATGGCAAAACGAAACGCATTTGTGACACTAAAGGACCACAAAGATAACTTTGTAAACAAACCAACATGCAGACTAATCAACCCATCGAAATCAGAAATAGGAAAGATAAGTAAGCAAATCCTGGAAAAAATCAACAAAAAAATAAACCAGAAGACTAAACTTAACCAATGGAGAAATACAAGTCAGGTCCTAGAATGGTTTAACAACATCACCGATAAGCAGAACCACTCATTTATATGCTTCGACGTCACCAAATTCTATCCATCGATTTCCCATAACCTACTTTCTAAAGCCCTCGACTTCGCCGAATCCTACGCAGAAATTACAGAAGAGGAAAGAAACATAATTGTACAATCCAAAAACACTCTACTATTCAGCAACCAAACAGCCTGGAAAAAACAAAACACTGAGACAAATTTCGACGTGACAATGGGTAGTTACGACGGAGCAGAGACATGTGAGCTAATCGGCCTTTTCATACTGGCAAAATTAGAACCAAAATATGGAAATAAGATTGGCCTCTACAGAGACGACGGACTGGCAGCATTTGACGATACACCCCAGCAAATCGAAAGAATAAAAAAGGACATATGTAATGTATTTAGAGAGTACGATTTGAAAATATCAATAGACGCGAACAAGAAAGTGATTAACTATCTTGACGTCACACTGAACCTAAGCGAAGGAACCCACAGACCCTACTTGAAGGAAAACAACAAGCCCCTGTACATACACTCAAAAAGTAACCACCCACCCTCCATTATAAAGAACATCCCGGAAGCCATAAATAGAAGACTCTAGCATTTCCTCTAACGAAACTGTATTTAACGACACCAAGGAACCTTACCAAGAAGCCCTAAAAGAAAGTGGATACGAGCACAAATTAACGTATGAACCCACAGCTAAAAACACACAAAGAGATAACACAAGGAAAAGAAAAAGGAACATCACCTGGTTCAACCCTCCATACAGCAATAACGTAAAGACAAGAATTGGACATGAATTTTTAGAAATTGTGGATGAATGCTTCCCACCCAACCATGCACTAAGGAAAATATTTAACCGAAACACTATCAAGATAAGTTACAGTTGTATGCCGAATATGGGTTCAATAATCTATGCACACAACAAATCAGTACTTAATAATACCACAATCCGCACAGATAATGAAGTCAAAGAATTCAATTGTCGCGACGTGTGCCCCCTATCCAACAAGTGCCTAACCAAAGGAGTTGTTTATCAGGCCACAGTCATACGCCAAGACGACAACAAAATAAAAACTTATGTCGGACTGACAGAAAACACTTTTAAGGGCAGATATAATGGACATAGTAGCTCATTCCGTAATGAAAAGTACAAAAACAGCACGGCACTCAGCCAATACATTTGGAAACTTAAAGCCGATAATATAAAATATGAAATTAAGTGGAAAATATTAGGTAAATGCAAACCATACTCCAATATCAGTAAACGCTGTAATCTGTGTTTGCTAGAGAAATATTTCATTATATGTAACCCTGAATTAAGCTCACTTAACCGTAGGAATGAATTGATTAGTGCATGTAGGCATAGAAGAAAATTTCTACTGCGGTATCAATATACATAGGCCTATACAATACAGAGCTTTTAATCACCTCTATGAATAATAATGAGTATACTAATTAACCTGTTTACCAATAAACTACATAACAATATAATCTATACAGCAATTAACAGTTCCACCATGCATGATTGTTATTCTGCAGTCTCATTCAGAGCCTAGCACCTGATGATTGAGGAAGTACCTCATGAAACAGCCTATATATATATAATGTAGGTCTACTTGATATGCGTTTTTTTTATTGTTTAATACTTTTTGTTTTGTCGGGGTCAAATTGAGACAAGCTTCGCTTCTATTTTTTATCCTAATTAATTAATTTTAATGTCGTCCACTTTATTTATCATTTGATGTATTTGATTAATTGAATAAATGTTAACTGAATTGAATTGACTGCTTTGAGCCGCAGCTGCTTCGACCTGAATCCGTCATGAGAAAATTGGGGCGCAACGTCTAGGCCTATCCTCCATTTTAGAAAATGGGCCTGATCTGAAAGTCTACACACTCGTGGACCCGATCGTCCACACTAGTTGTTGGGCCCGATAATCTGGCTGGAAATGGGCCTGATCGTCTGGGCCCGATGGTATCGTGGGCCCGATCGTTTGTCACCCCTAGGGTAGGCCTAGTACTGAGGACGGTGAAGCTCAAGGCTAGGGCCTATCTACACGTGTACGTCCTAACCTAGCTAGTAGTAGGCCTAGTAGTAGGCTAGGCCAAGGCCTAGCCTAGAGACTGAGTAGTAGAGAGTAGAGTAGTTTTGCGAGGAGGGCTTGTCAATTGACGTTCCTGGGAAATCTTAAGACATCACTCAGATACCAATAAGACTTACATAAAATAATGTTAAAACGAATATTGTCTTTACAACTGCCATCGTACAAATAGGTCACTACGCAACGCTTTCGACCTTGAGATGACGCAATGGCCGTCCGTATTGCTCGATCGACTGGTCGTCGTTTACGTTCTTCGTCACTTTATGATGCTCTCGGTCTCTTTGAGTCTTTGTTTACATGTGTAGCGCCCTCTGTGAACAACAAACTCGCACATCTTAGTTGGTTTTTCCATCTTCATTTCCTTTTATTTTAATTGCTTCACTTTCCTTATGTAGATTAAAGTTAAATCTGGTAAACCTAATGCGGATTTTAAGAAAAACTACGATTATTTGTGTATTTCTATTTTTTCTTTTGATACTGTTATTTACACAGGTAAGTAAAAAGAACAAAATAGGCCAAAGGCCCTACATACATATGCAATTGCAACCGCCAGACCAACAAGGCGGCCTCTGTAGCTAGCTAGCTGCTAGGCTAGGTTTAGGCCTATATCTCCTACCCAAATGGATTTTGTTGTAGGCGATCTAGCCACTCCACCGTGTGCCTAGTGTAGTAGAATAGGGTGTTCGGCTTACGCGTACTAACATAGCCTCCTACCCATCTAGCCTACCTAGACGAAAGCTCTGGCCAAGTCTGCAACTTTTTAGATTGCTTAGGCCTAGGCCTATATTATAGATTTATTAGTCTGAAAAAAAAAACAATTCTTGGTCTCACTATTTAAAACTGGAAACTGAGAGAGCAGCTTAGCTCAGTCAGCGGTGATAGCCACTGTGTGTGCGCTGAACCATTGAAATCTCTAGGTCCCGGCTCAATTCCTATCGCTTTCTCTCCTTGTGTTTCAGCTGAGGGCTGAAATACAAGTTACAATTAGCGCACCGTCTTTCAGGACACATTTAAGCCGTTGGTTCTGTGTGCATCTTGCATTAAAGAATGCAGTACACTTCAGAAAAGAGTAGGGCATTGTCTCCTGGTGTACTGCCAAATTGCCACCAGAAGGACCCTACTATCCTTGGTGTTTTCACTGAATAAATCCAATCCAATCTAGGTGGTTGTGCGATGTCCACCATTTCCAGTTTGCCTTCTGTCTAAGCAAAAATGTCAATCATAAAACTTTCCATGTTTTTATGTGTATACGTTGTAGTTTCAGAAAATAATACAAGGAATAACATAGTTATCCAAAAACCAAAAGGTTCACTGCTGTTAATCTAGCCAGATAAGAAAGTATAATACATACTCTAAGAATTGAATTGAATGCGCATCGTGTTGGGATTCAATATATCGACAGTGATTATGTCATTATCAGGAATTCCTGATGATTTTTGTTTCTATTAAATGCTCTTGGCATGTTTTATCATTTATTTTCAGTTAACTTTGATGAATGTTTTTTTAAAGGTTATTTGGAACTTTGATGAGGAATCTTTTTTTATGGAAGATGGTGCCCGATGGAGTGACAATAATAGAGAGAACCCAGGACAGATTTTTCCTGAAGGTAAAAAATAAGTTTAAATTGTGAATTCCATCCAAGCATGGTGAGGATTGTAATCTGCAATTGAACGGCATGTTCATCAGTGGTGGCTTCGCCAGGATTTGGGTCCAATGTCCACAACGTAACGGCCAATTTTCTCGACTGATGAAGCATAAGTGGGCATGACCAGGGGCAGCTCAAAGACTCCCTCAGAGTGGGTCTGAAGGAAATTCCTAGGAACTCTGACAATTTATAAATTTGTGCTCTATAATATCTCTATGCTGTGCTTGAGCAACCATTTATGACCATATAAATATATGTTTTAATAAACAAAAATAAATTTTAAAATATAGTGAATTGTATTCAGCAAAACTTCTGATGGCTAAAAATAGATATTCTTACGTTTTATGTTAATAAAAGATTAAAACAATATTTATTTGTACTTTATTTTGCCTGACTACAATGTATCATGGAATGTTTACAGATGAACGACTAGAGAGGGCAGCAGTTAACATCAAGTATCCGATAATACTATGGTGGACTGGATTTACAGGAGAGCGAGGTCGATTGAAAACATGCGGTGAAAGAAAATGCTTTTTCACGGTCAATCGTAATTTCAAAGATCATCCTTGGTTGAAGGTTTTTATGTTTTATGGAACTGATTTCAAAATCAAAGACCTACCACTTCCGAGGAAAAATCACCATCAGTGGGCATTGCTACATGAGGAATCGCCGAAAAATAACTACATTCTCACCCAGCCGGACTGCCTACATCTCTTTAATTACACATCAACGTTTAAACGCCACTCAGATTATCCGCTGACAACTCAGTATTTGCCTTCACTGGAGGATCTCACAAGTCGTAAATTCTTCGTTCAAACACCTGATAAAAGCAAGGATGGAGTTGCTCTGGTCTTGTATGTTCACTCGGACTGTAACCCACCTTCTGATCGCGATTCGTACGTCAAAGAACTCATGAAATACATAAAAGTTGACGCACTTGGTAAGTGTCTACATAACAAAGATCTACCCGAAAGTCTTCAAGATCCATTGACTATGGATAAAGAAGAATTTAAACATATTATAGCAAAGTATAAGTTCACCTTGGCTATTGAAAATGCTCTCTGCGATGATTACATTACAGAAAAGTTTTGGCGCCCTCTAACATTAGGTTCTGTACCAATTTACAAAGGTTCGAGCACAATCAGAGATTGGTTCCCTACAGAGAAAAGTGCAATTTTAATCGATGATTTTAAAAACCCGCAAAATCTAGCAGAGTATCTACTCTACCTGGATAAGAATGTTGACGAGTATAATAAATATTTAGAAGTGAAACAAACCGGAAAGATTACCAACTCGATGTTGGTTGAGACCATGCGAAAGCGAGAATGGGGTGTGGACGACTACAATCGGATGAATTTCATCGATGGGTTTGAATGTATGGTATGCAACAGTCTCCATGACGACATAGAAGCATTGAAGCGTAAACGTTACCGGAAACATGTTGCTCAACCAAATCACTTGGACTGTCCGAAGCCGGAACTTTATCGGTCGTATTCAATAATGTCAAATATGTGGGCGCGCATGTATGAAACAACTAAAGGAAAAGCAAGGGCTTTAAGAGAACTGGTGTTAATGGGCAAAAATTTTACAAGGACAGACTTTTATAATAAAATGTTTGATGATGAATCATCATAATGTATAATAAGTGCCAACTGTTGCAGCACAGTTGGGGGTGGGAGGAAGGTTTGATCACGCCTCCAGAATGATGGGGTGGAAGTTCACTAGGGCACCGGGTTCTTTTAAGAACGCATTAGCCAGATGAGTACACTAAACCTCCACAAGACTAGTGTCAACCAAAAGCGTGGGTGAAGAGGGTTTTGAACTAGAGCCGAACTTAAGGCTATAGGTTGAAATGCGCTGCCTCTGCTTTACAATTCGTCTTGCTCAAAGTGTGGTTAAATGTAAACCAAGATCGAGAACGAGAAATTTGGGAGAAATAATTTATAAATTTCTTACATTTGAAATTATAATTATCAGCTCAATAGTGCTTTCTGCACATTTTAAAAAGACAGCACTTAAAATGCGAAATGACAAATGTTTATATATTTTACATATATTTTTTTTTGTCATATTTTTTTATGTCATATAGGAGTTTTTATTAAATATTTTTTTTATTTTGTAATATGAAATTTTACCTAGTATTTTATTACATAGTTTAAATTTATTTAGTCTTTCTACTGTCTTATGTCTGAAGGGCCAAAGCTGGGTAGCCAGGCCCACCAATCAATCACACCAATGAAGTTTTCAATGGCAAAGGTTACTATACAGTATTAAATAAAAAATAGGCAGACTCGTATCCAAGATGGTGCAATAGAAAAATTTGCTTTTGCAAGCAGCAGTCTGCTGCATATATACAAGGTAATTCAACAAAAGGACGCACATCTCAGGACATCAAAGGTTATAACTCTGGCATCGACATTCTAGGCGCACGTGCGTCCCTACACACTGAACCTCACAAAAACCATAGCAACCAGACCATAAACCGTCAGCGTACGTGACGATTTACCCACGCGCGTGTTAGTTGCCAT